ATATTTCCGAAAATTGCCACAAAAACCGCAGCAAAAATCGCCACAAAAATCGCCAGTGTAAACGGGGCTTTAACGATAGTGTCTGTGAATATTGCTTAGCGTCCAAAACCTGCTTGAAATAAAAAAGTCTAAATTTGCAATTCATAGTGTTACATTCCCTGATGCTAGGGGGAGACCGTTCCAAATCCAAGCGCTGCAACAACAAACGCTCGTTCCCCGAAGGTCTTACATCTGGGGAATGCCACGTGGTCTCAAGTGGGAAATTATTTACGTCGAGCCGAGGAGGTCTATAGCCCCGGCCCCGAAAAACAAAAGGGAGCCAGTGAAGGTTCATTGACACTGGTGTGATTTGCACGAATCGAGGACTACAAACCAGGTTACGTGCTTAGCAGCGTTACTGAAGTTCAGCAATCTCTAAAGGCGATCCATCTGGTACTGCGAAACTCAGTTCAATAACGACTTGCAGAAGCCCAAGTGTGAGGTCATAAACGCGTTTATAAGAGTCTTAGAAGACTCCTCTGACAGAGACCTCTATCTCATTTTGTTATCAATGTTAACCTCGGCCAGCCGACGGAATCCCGTAAACAGAATGACTCCGTCTTACTGTCATTTAGCATGAGCTGATGGTGAGCCGTCCGATCTCGAGTAAGACGATAAGTCAGTTGCGTATCATCTGCATATCCTTGGACACTGAGTTGGTAGATGTTTCTTCGTGACGTGGAACAGGCGAGATGCATACTTTTTAAATAGTATACACTCTTGGTCAAAAATGTTGAGAAATGTTTAGTTTTAATGGTATTTTCATGAAAAACATGAAAAATTCCCCTTAAAACGACCCCCTCCCCCCTTAACAATGTTGTTCAGGAAGACAGGGCTGCTGTCCTGAGGGAGAGGGGGTAAGGACAATAATTTTTTTAATAAAGGAAATTCTACTATTTCATGATTGGATGAAAAATTCTCAACCCTTTTTGTCCAAGATTGTAGGTCCAATAGTATAGGTCCCGCCCAGCTTCTTTGAGAAACTCCACTAAGGAGGTCAAAGTCCCGGGACTGTTGCAGCTCGATGACCTCCCGCTGTTTCATCTAAGCGTGATTCAGTTACGCCAAACTTACTCTCTAATAAGTCGACCATGTTCTGTGATCAATGGCATCGAGAATACCACAATTATATCCAGGATTTATGTCGAGTTTATGATGCTTCATGCATAATTTATAGACCACTCAGTGAATACATAATAACCAAAGCTCTTGATTTATTCTAAAATTTATCAGGGACCCATTGTTGCCAATATCGCATGCAATTTGAGATTTTACGATATCAAATTTTAATATATATATATATATATATATATATATAGATTACTTCATAGAAAGTGCGGCGTACGGGGTTATATTCAGTTGTTTGTGTAAAACACGAACGAGCGAGTGAGTGTTTTACACAAACGACGAGTGAATATAACCCCGTACAAAGCACTTCCTATGATGTCTTCTCTTTATTATATTGAAGAAATAGAAAACGCGCGCGCGTGCTGTGTGCTGCCATAAAGCACTTGGGGGTTGGCAGAACACTCGAGAAGTGTTAGGAGAAGCACGACGCATAGCGGAGTGCTACTCGACACTTCTCGAGTGTTCTGCCAACCCCCAAGTGCTTTATGACTGCACGCAGCACAGCAAGCAAGTTTTTTATTTCTTTTATAAAATACAAATTACAATAATAGATAGGAATGACGCGACGGAAGGTGCGCGCGCGTGCAATGTGCTCATAAAGCACGCTCTCCAAACCAATCAGAACGCGACATTCACAACAGTTATTTTATAAAGTGGCACAGAACGACTCGCCATTTTGTCCACATCAACAAAACTACAGAAACACAAATTTACTTTGGCGGGAAGCCATTCAAATGTCACAATTGCTCGTTTTATGATTGGTTGGTTTGGACAATTCTATGTTTTGATTGCTTATATTTTTACACTGTGAAAAGCTGTATGCGACGCTGATTGGTCGTATTGCATTTTTCACCAGTGAAATATAAAGCATAGAGATTTTTATAATAGAGATTCATTGTATGGAATTCTAGTTATATATATATAATAAATATATATCAGAGTTAATAGATTAACTATGATTACATAAACAAGAAATATGGGAAAAAACGTTTCCTAAACCGAGGAGCTCTGGGAACGAGAATGGGGAAACGGGAAGGTATAATAAACGCATGCGCAAATCACGTGCACAATTCAAAATGGCGGAAGATTCTTGTGAAGATTTGCCTAAGGTTTTATAATCATCCTCATCTCAGCTGGTGTTTTATCGAACTGAAAATGTTGTTAAGCAAGATAAAAACGTTTGTCAACGAAGCAGTAGAAGCTGTAAGTATCTATTACTAGACATTCTTGATAGATTTAACTGATCATCAGTTTATGGCCACGTAGACGTAAAATGAAACTACAGTACCTTCAAGGTTAGGTCGTATTGACCGAAGGAATTCGTGTTTTTTTACAGCTTGCTCCTGACTTGCCTCCTCAAGAGGACTTCGTATTCCACTGGAAGGCTGTGACGAATTATTTTATAGAAGCTACAGGTGAGATTGAAACACAATCACTATCCTTGTTTACAAGTAAAATGACATAAGCTTAAGCTCTGTCAGGGGAGCAAGAGACACTTCATCGAAGATGTACTTTGTACTTGATGTACCATGACCATAATGAGGCGAGTTTTTACCACTTATGGAATGCAGTTAAATCGTTCATTTCTGTCCTTGCGAACAGCCGAATATTCCTCGAATATTCCTCGAATGTTTTACTGTAAATAAGATTCTTCGGTTTAATAGCCTCCCACTCTGTGTATGCTTATAGGATATACTGTAGCCTTTAATTGAAGCTTGTACACAAGGGCGTAGGCAGGGGGCCAAAAGGACCATGCCCCCGTTGTGGCAAAAAAATGGCGGCTTTTTAGAATTGATACTGTAATTTTCATTTTCTTTTCCTAAGTTCCACGAAATTAAAACCCGCTGCCCCTTTTATAATACCATACACTGCATTATGGATTTCCTACATACAGTACTCACAGATCTTTTCACTCCAGCCCCCTCTCCCTTAGAAAAACATTATAATGTACATTTATATTTATATCTAATGAAATTATTACTGCCTTTATCTTGTAATTAGATGAGAAAGTGCCAGTTCACTCCACTAATATTCCATATCATTTGGAAAAAATGTTGACAACTCTGAGGCAAGAAGAAGAAGAAGCATCTGGTGGATCTACTGTATGTTCAATTGACTTTTTAGTTGTGTTTTTATCTATTTTATTTATTCATGAGCTTTCCAACCAAGTGAGCATAAACATACATCTTTATAAAAATACAATGTTACAAGTTACAATGGTAAGAATTAATTAATAGACCTTATTCGTGGTGTGACAATGTTTTCCCAATTCAGCGTGACAAACCTCTGGGGGAATGAAGAGCTGTTAGTTTTGAAACTTGTTGGGATATCATCGTTATTCCTTTCGTATCCTTTGGGATACTCATGAATTTTTCGAAGAATAAAAACAAAAGAAAATGAATCCCCTGGAGGTTCGTCACTCTGAATTGGAAAAACATTCTCACACCATTAATAAGGTCTATTACAATGAAAAATACTACGCTGCTGTGCTAACTGATTGAGGTACAACTGACCAACATCACTTGGGTCCCAATTACAAAGGTCAGCCAAATTGAGACTTGTTTTTCATATTTCTAACTAATTTCTACCAAAATGATAAATAAATAAAATAAATAGGATTTAAAATTACATTTGTAAATAATTAGAAGTTGATTTTTGTAGAGGGAGGAAAACCAGAGAATCCTGAGAAAAACCCTCAAAGTACAGGAGAGAACCATCAATAAACTCTACTCACACTGACTCTGGAAATCAAACCTGGGTCTCCTTGATGAGAGGCAAGCACTCTCACTGCTCTGCCAGTTGTGCTTTAGTTTGTTACCCTTCAATACTCCATTTTACAGATCCATCTAGTGACCACGATAAATAGTTCCTAGCCGAGGCTGGAGTTTTCGCGCATAGCAAAACTACAATTTATCATGCGAGGTTTATCAGCTAATATTAATTAGCTGTAATTTAGATAAGATACTGTACATATTCTGAGTTAATATTGTAAAACATAAATGTTTTGAATAACAGGGCCCTTGTTTGGAATATCTTCTGCAACACAAGATCCTTGATACTCTTCACACCTTAGGAAGAGCTGATGTAAGTACTTTGATAATTGTATTTAACTGTCAATGGATAGAGCATCACCTACAGTATTCTTAAAATGAGCAGTTGTGTTAGAATAATCATAATAATTCAAAACTCATTTTTAAGTGCACTTGAAAAGCTCCTGAATATAGCAAAGTTGCTGGATACTCCTGGAATTCTCCTTAAAATTGTAACATTTTTTGATTGTAACATTTTTGTAGCACCAATAACGGCAAGCGGCAACTGTTAAGAAACAAATTCACAAACAAAATGGTCCTTGAAAATCATATTTTTGAGCCTTGGAAAGTCCTTGAAAAGTCCTTGAATTTTTTGTTTGAGATGTATCACAAACCCTGTGTAAATCAGATTAAACCATTGTCCTCATGAATTATTAAAATATGAGTTTGAGAATATAGTTTCTTGTGTCACATTTCATGAACTGAAACTTAGCATTCTTACCAATACCAGATAACGCTGTGAAGAACGCAAACATCATCAAGTATATACATGTACATGTACACACATTTCAAGAAAAACATGGCTTTGTGCCAAACAATATCAATAATGACTTTAAGATCTTGAAAGGATGTAACAAAAAATTTGATTGTCTAATTTTTGAAATGTTGTTTACACAAGAAAAATTTCCTTATTTTAAAGTGACTCTATCAAGGCCAAACTATTTATATAACAACACCTTTTGTTTTTTCACAAGTAATTTATATGTTAATTCAGTTGATCTTAACTACTGTACACTTGCAATTCAATAACACTTGATAATGGAGCAATGATGACACCAAAACATTGGAAAGTAAAAACTATGTGTTTCCTATGGTTGTCCTTCTTAATACCCAGATAATATTCTCATTTCTGTTGTTCATTTTGACAAAGCGTTATTTACAGTAATGGAAGGTGTTAAGTGTCGTATGTATAATCAATAAGATTAAAATATTTGCATATTGTTGTTCAGTGCCCTCCAGGAATGAAGCAGCAAGTATTATCATTCTTTGCTAATCTTCTGGCCAAGATGAAACAGCCATTACTGCCTCATGTGAATGTCTACAGACCTGTACATGTAAGTCAACTATTTCTGCACAAAGTAAATTAAATTTACGGTATAGCCTGGTTTACAATAGCGTCAGAATCAAGTTCAAAAGTGACATATGCTCACAGTATGTAGTGTACTGCTCATAAACAGTGCTGGCCTTTTTTTCACATATTGGTGATAAGTGCAATACTGAGTCATCTACATGTACATGTATGTTGCTTCCAATCCTGACGCTACATGTAGTAAGAACCAGGCTTATACAGCTATTTCAAAAAAAGGTTGAATACTGCACACTGAATAGTGCATTCCAAGACCAAAGGGCATTCTAAACATACAGCAATTAACTCTCTACATGTAGTTAGATGGAATACACTAAAAATAGAATAAATTATTATTATTAATCCTACTTTAGACAATGTCACTATGACTCACAATGCACTTCGGTCTTGGATTTTATTATGCACTATTCAGTATTCAGTATTCAACCTTTTTTGAAATAGCTGCATCTAAGCATCCTGTTATTGCATTCCATACCACCACAAGACAGGGAGATGTTTGTGTACTTTAGTGTCTATCTCCCCCCCCCCCCCCCCCCCCCCCCCCCCCCCCCCCCCCCCACCCAGCCAAGCACTGAATTGAGTGCCTCGCCATAGAATGTTCCATGTGTTTCCTTCAATCACACATAATCCTTGAGAGGTTGTCAATTGTTTTCCAAGCTTTGAGATCACCAAACCCATCCTTGAGGGGATGTGATTCAAGATATGTGTCATCATATTGGTAACCAGTCGTTTCGCACAATTGCCTTTTCGCACAAACCCGTTCGCACAACTATGACCTGTTCGCACAATTCCAAGAGTCGTTTAGCAGAACTTTAAAATACAGTATATGGTCACTAAGAAGTCGTGAAAATATCTTTCCTCTGTTCCTGTAGATGGGTTTTCATCCCCAATAATTCTGTTTCAAGACTTTATTAGCATCCAAGTTGATCGAAAATTGCACGAAACAAACAGCGCCATTACTTCCAGTGTACCAAAGTGTAATCTTTCCTTGACTTGCCAACTTAATCTTCATCAAACTTTTTGTTTATTTATTTGCTTGTTGAAAGCTTGAGCATATATCTATTTTCTCCAAAGTGTTAATGAGAATCTCAAGGTGACTACCACCAAAGTGAAAAAAGAGTCAGGCTAACGAACTGTTACAATTGTAAAAATAAGAGTTTTACGACTAGTCAACAATGAAATCGACAACTAGCTACCAAGTACTTTCRTTACCGTCGGTTCGCTAAAACCCAAAGTCTGCTACCATCATGAAGTCCTTTTGCTACCATTGGAAATTACCAAAACAAAACTTCRATGAGACTTGTTAAAAAGAAACATAGTCTCTTGAAAGACATTTGTATATGATTTTGAAGCATATTTGGAGCGATCATTTCACRATACGATCAGTGAAAGTGGAGGTCTAAACGCGACCAAGGACAGTGTTCACTAAGCTACCATATCAAGTCTGTTTCTACCAACTTTTGACTCGGATGACTTTATTTCCCCATACTCTTATCTATGAAATGTGTGTTTTGGGTAGCTTTATTATTCTTTATCATTGTTTACTTGCCAAAGTTCAAGGGAAAAAAAACCTTATACGTGAAACATCGATCGACTCTTGGAATTGTGCGAACAGGTCATAGTTGTGCGAAGGGTTCGTGCGAAAAGGCAATTGTGCGAAACAACTGGTAACCATCATATTAATGAATATCTTATTGGCTCAATTACCGGAAAGTGGGAAACAATTGTTGTTAAATTGTTAAAAACTTGACATGGAAGAAATCAAATAAAATATACCATATGAAGCTGAATCCCTTCATACAATGAAATACTCTATTTTTGACAACACTTTTGTTCCAAAACCAAAAAAGGCATGATTTGCTTTTCATTGCTTTGCCATACATGTATATAAGCACTATTAATTTGTACTGTAGCTCTATTAACTTTTGTGAATCTGCAGAGGTTGATTCGTCTGTGTGGTGAAGTGCGTGCAGCTCCTTCTGAGAATGAGGAAGTTCACTTTCTTTGTACAGTTTGTTCCAAACTGAGACAAGACCCATATCTTGTTAATTTCTTCCTTGAGGTAGGTGTTTTTACAGGTTATACAGTGTATTGTCATTTGATACAATTGCAGTACATGCACTTAACAATTATTTGTCAAAGGCGCAGTGAATATCGGGGAATATCTTATCGGGGAATGTTTACTGAGACACGAGTCTTCAAGCGGCAACATAAATATCCCCGATATTCACTGAGGCTGAGGCAAATAATTGTTTTAGTATAAATACACAGGTGATTCTTTCAAAGAAAAAAGAAAGAAAAAAGAAGATAAAAGACATTTTTTTCCGGTAACAGCAACCACCATTTTGGATTATCACTTGTGTGATAGTGTGAGTTTTTCGACCAATCAGCACACGAGATTTTCAATAATCACCTGTGTATTTTTACAGGTTGCAAGGTTCAAATTTGAATAATCCTTATGAAAGTACCTTGGTGAATTATTCTCTCACTGTTATTTGTCAGCTACTAAATCCTGCAATACAGATGCTGCAAATGCTTATTTTATATGGTGCAGATTGATCACAATAGCCTTCTTTTTCTGTCTACTGACTCAACCATTATAATTTGAATAAAAATATGCAAAGTATTCAGACTAGTTGAGTCAGTAATTTATTATAATTATGTGACACCTGGGCAGATAATTGGCTTACTATTAAAAGAATAATCAAAATATGCATTTTTAGATATAAAGAGAATAAAGATTTTCAAAGAAAACATAAATTCATCTAGAAATCAAACATATGATGTCTATTAATTCAAAATAAATTTTATTTAAAGCAATTATATACTACTTGTTTTAAATTGTCGAATGCTTCTAAATTGAAAGTGTTTCTAAAGTGTAAACCATGTGCAAGATAAACGAGTGACTAGTTATTCAACAGTATTTATAATATCTTTGTCGTTCACCTTGATCTCTTTTGTTCTGCATGAGACACTTTCTTTTCCTTTGCAGTTCCTAAATTACATAAAATCAGTTATCCATATTGATTATATCTGAATCAGATCTTCTTAATTCTCACTGTGTTTCTGTGTCTTCTAACCACAGTTCACCTCTATAAATGCCTGTTCTTGCATTGCCTGTCAACAAACACACAATAAAGACTCTTCTACTCATAACACATGTGTAAGTCTAAACTCTGTTCTTGCAAACAGAACTGTAATATTCTTATAAAGTAAAAGATTAAACCTTACTGCTTTGTATGCTATGTGACTAGGGCACAATAGGGTCCTGCAGTCAGGTTTCTAATAAATTAACTGAAGCGTATTTTCCATTAAATTAGTAATATATGCAGTATGAGTGGCCGTGTTGTATCAGATATGCAAACTCCAGGCATAGCCGAGAGTTTGTATATCGGAGACAACACAGACACAAATACTGTATATTACTTACCTTTGTGCTTCACTAAAATTTTCAAAATTAAAGTGAATCTGGCCAAGAAAATCCATCTTAAAGTTTATGCCAATGAACACAATTTCGTATCTGATTTACAACACTCTTCACGGTTGTGATTTCTGTTGTGTTTTCCTCATGAATTATTAATGAGTTTGATAAATATAATTATAGAACTTACATTTTCATTTATAACTTACATTAGATGGAGATTGTCCTTTATTATTACTCTTTTATTAACCTCTTGCTTCCTTTTTCTTATGATAAAATAAATAAAGATAGATAAAAAAACATATTTTACAACCACCACTCCCCATAAGGGGCTTTTCTTCATTATTAATCATAAATAATATGAAATCATTAATTTTTATATTGTTACAGTTCAAAATATTTTCCTCTTATTACTCGCCATGCTCTCCTCTCTTATCAGACTACTTCTTCTGAATATACTAGTAGTTTATCACAGGTATGGATTTCTTCTTGTATCAGATCCCATGCACTGCCATTCTCATCAATAAAAGTTGATTTTCCTACTAGATTCTTCTTAGCAGTGCATCTTACTTTTTTCTTTCTTACATGTACATGTATACTATAGTGTACAAATCACACTATCAATGCAGCACATTCAGTCTTTATCACAATTCTATAACATACTATACAACTGTCATGTACCTCATACCATGTTGTATCACACTACTGTCAATGCAGTACATTCAATCTGTCACATATCGCATGGTGTAAATACCATCAACTGTCTCGTTTTCTCACTCGAATCTGAAAATGACCTCCTCTCAGGTTGTCGAAATGTCAGTCACCACCAACAACAGTCTTTCTAAAAACTACGCTCACCCGGATGATCACACTTCACAACAAACTTCAACACCTGGGTTCAATTCATTTACTCTTATATCTCATACCATGCTGTATCACACTAATGTATATGCAGTACATTCAATCCTCATAATGTACCTGGGTACAAGGGCAGATCCAGCCAAAATTTTAGGGAGGGCTAATTGAGTTTGTTCCGTCAACAAAAAGCATCTAACTATTCAGTTTTGTTTTGTTTTGTTTTTTTTTCTTGCTCCTCCCCCCCCCCCGCCCTCGCTGAGTACCCTGTATCCATCATGTATCTCATAATCACACTACTGTCAATGCAGTACATTCAGGGCCCGGTTGTACAAAGCCTGGATAGCGCTATCCAGTGGATAAGTTGATGCTGTTATCCAATACATTTTTCCATTGGTGAGAAGATTTATCCATTGGATAGTGCTATCCAGGCTTCATATGACCAGGCCCAGCATTATAGTCAGCTTTACTGAAAACGTTTATCAAAAATGTTTACTGATTAACTTCACGTAAAATTAAAGTTTAACTAATGCTAATCAGTCTCTTTTTTAACTTACTGAACTGAAAATGATTTATTCATAAATCTTCAACTATGAATGCAAATAACACTTTGTGATTTATGAATGAGTGCAACCTTTTGTATATAACTACTAAACGTTTTTTAATGCCTGCACATTCAGGCTAAGTATTGCATAACACCATGATACAGTATGTTGCTTAGTCCTGTTCGTTCCCTTGGGATGCTATGACCAAGGGCACTAGGACACCGAATGTGGTTGGATTTCTATAGGTTTTTTTTTCCTTTCGATTATTTGAATTAAATTMACGTTATACTTGTTTGACTTATCTTGTGTCCATGTTCCTTCGTTCGCTGTTGTAATGCAGACGTTTTCATTCCAAAGGTCAAACGGTTTGAATAGCCTATGAGCATTACTTCTTTAACGGCTGTTCCGTACTTGACTCTGTTTGTACTATACCAACAACAACGCGACCGCGCAATGCTCCTTACGTCAGTAATGTGCAACCGTCCAGAGTTAATATGGTTAATCAAATTCACCTTAAGTTCCATATTCTAATTTGTTACCAACTTGTATTTGAATTAATTATTGCACTGCATGAGTTGAATCTTTGGCCAGGGCTCAGAACAGAGCAGAATGACTCCATTTTGATCCCTGAGTTAGAATTAATCTTTTTTTCTCTGCACTGCATCACAGTGTGTAGACTGTGTTTGCTTCAAAATGACTGCATGTTCATTGCACTTGTCACTTTAAGCATGCCTGTTGCATCTTGTAAATGCAATCAGTGTTAGACTTGCTTAATAACTAATAGAGCCCTTCACAGTTCCCTGCACCATCTTGAAAGGTAGCCATGCCTTTGCATTGAAGCAAGACGAATGGTGAGCTTGCAATGATAGAGACATGTGAATAATATTGTTCAAGGTGTTAAAAAAGGTCTCTATCATTCAAGCTCACCATTCGCCTCCCTTCGATGCAAAGGCACGGCTACCTTTCAAGATGGCGCAGGGAACTGTGAAGGGGTTTATTGCCAAGTAAATTGATCATCCTTTGAGTATATGTAGCTAACATTAGCTAGGGGATTTTACAAGAACTTAATCCATAAATATCTAAAGATGTAACCTGTGTAGCTTTACTTTATGCATGATTATTAAATTGCTCATCATGCTGCATCCATGCCCTTCAAAGAGTTCACACTTCTTTAAATGAAGACCATTTCAAGTTTAACAAAATAAGGTTCATTCATGCCTGGGTTTGGTGTAAACAACATTATATATTATAAGACATTACAAACAAATGGTGTTTGCACCAAAGCTGCACCACGTTCGTAACCTCAGAAAAAATGCTTGGAAATTAGGACAATGAGTATTGTACTCCCTTCACTACCTTTGGGCACAATAATTGTACTATAGGGAATAAGATCAATTATTTACTAGACTAAAAGTACATAATTGTATTGCTATTTGTTTAATTAGACACACTTTGTTGTGGTGCAATGTTTTCCCATTACAGACCATGTGTCATTCCCTAGAGAATGAGATTCTTTGTTTTAGTTATATCCATATTTATGTGTCTTGTTATTTGCAACTGTTAATAAAAAATGGTACTCTAGGGAATGTCATGTGTTCTGGTGTTCTGTATTTGGGAAACATTGCATCATAATGAATAAGGTCTATTGCCATGCCCAGTTACCTCTTCAAAAGGAATTCTTAAGTAGGAATGTACTTATAATGTACTTATAATGACCCAAAACATTAATTGAATAATTACGTTTTAGTCGATAGAGAAAAATGTACCTCATGAATCTGGAGCTGGCCAGGATTCATCAACACTGCAAGACACCAGACGTAGGGACAAACCTGATTATACACTAGTAAACTCTCTGCTTAACATGACCAAAAGTGAGGTAAATACTACTGATAATGGTTGATTTAATTAAGCAAGCATATTCCACTCTTAGTAATAATTAGACCAATGTGTCGTCAGTTAATCCCACTTTTCTTACCCTTTCTATGCTAAGAAATGGAGTGCAGAAATTATGCACCTAATTGATTTGAATATTTTTTTCTTTTCAAATGTACATTTTTATAGCAAATTTCAGTAAATTAAGAACTAAGTTTAGACTCAAAACCAACCATGTCTGTACATACATCAAACCCTGTTGCATTTCAACTCAATATCACAGCTTAATTAAAGTATCATCATTATCCTCCATGCCTGTTTGGCACGTAGTGCTGACACCAAGGACTTCAGAATCAAAGTACAAACACCACATAATATTGGGGCACCCTATTTGTCCATCATGTCATGCACTCTTATCACTCATATTTTGTTTGTGTGTGTTTTTTGTAATAGGTTAGTTTACTTTCACTCTCATCTATCAAATACCTTACTTGGTTTTCGTTTTGATCTCTTTTTTTTTTTTTCATTAGGACAGTAGAATAGCAGTGAAGGCTTGTGAAGGACTCCTGCTGTGTGCATCATTACCTGAGGACCATGCAGCTACTGTTATAATCCTCTATACACCATTCTGTGAAATTATGGTCAGTAGTAACGGTCCCTCAAAACACTCAATCACCAAGTCTTAAGAGATATAAAATAACTGTTATAAATGTCGCGTTATGATCGGTTTGGAGTGCGTGCTCTATGAGAGCACATTGCACGCACGTGCTTTTTCCATTGCATCATTCCTATCTAAAATAACAGTTATTGTAATTTGTATTTTATAAAAGAAATAAAAAACTTGCTTGCTGTGCTGTGTGCCGTTATAAAGCACTTGGGGATTGGCAGAACACTTGAGAAGTGTCCAGAAGTACTCCGCTACTCGTCATGCTTCTCCTAACACTTCTCTCTTGTTCTGCCAACTCCCGCATGCTTTATGACTACACACAGCACATGCACGTGTTTTCTATTTCTTCATTATAATAATAAAAAATTTAACTATAATTTAGACTTGAAGATAGAATTTCACACGCTGCGATTGCTCGAGTGACCAGTGATTCTGAAACGATATTCACTACTCCAGCCGTTATTATGAGGTTTCCCAAAGTTTGCCAGAGCAGAAGTAATACCAAAACCTTTTTTAATCCTGAATTTTGTCTTTTCTCTGATATTCAATTCTAAAATTATACTAAAACAATATTGTAATCACTTCGCTTTCAGTCAGTAATTCGTTAGATAAAACCTATTATTTGCCAATTATAACAATAATCTTTATTCCCATTTATATTTTCAAATGTGTAATGAGAAGTGAACTTTGTCATCTAAAAAAATAATAAGCAAAATAACAAATTAAATAGTCAATTATTTTTTAATCAAAACTTGTGCAATTATAGACTGAATTTTCGATACTAACTTGATAGCTGTTGGTTTATACTAAAACGGATATTACTATTTAAAACAGATATTTTTATCAATCTATGGGGGGGGGGGGATATTTTTCTACTAATTCCTTTTTATTGTATTTTTCTTTTTATGTGACGACGTTCGTGCAATTTGATGTATATAGTTTATAATCAATAAAACTTACTCATCTCATTTCCATTTTTTTTTTTCTTTTACACATGTAGGCAGATCGATTAAATCCCTTATTCCAAGCTCTTCAACAGTCCATGGATCCTGCAGATATATCTAATGCCTCGGCAAAATGGGGGTAAGTCTGTCCTTTAGCAGTATCGACAGTTTATTTTTACTTAACAGAACAAAATTATATATGAATTGGCAGCAGCCCACTACCTTTAACAATAATATCCACATTACATGTGAGCAGCACAAAGGGCTGTATACAGATGATAAAGCTAATTGTCTCGTAAAACTAGAGTTAAATTACATTAAATAAAGGTTATACAGGAGTCTGATCATCCATCTTGGATTACTGCAAAGCAATACTATCTTGTATTATCCAACTATCCTTAGTAGAGTACAATAAATTGTTTTGCAAAATATCCTGCAACATTTTGTATCTTAGGTTACTGTATTTTGTACAGTGAAAAAAGGTATTTGGTTTTTGAAAACTAGTTCACCGTAAAGCCTCAGTGGCTGAGCGGTTGAGATCTCGTCTAGCAAACGAGAGGTCAGCGGTTCGAGTCCCGCAAGAACGCAACTGAGGCAGATTTTTTAATCTGCTTATACACTCGATGTAGCATACACTTAACATATAGATCTTAACCGAGTGACACAAAAACATTTCATTAGTTCAAAGTTATTTATTAATTAAACAAACATTCTTGGACTAATCAAACAAATGCTTGATATAATATGAGTCTTACAATGACCCAGGAACACTAATATTTGATTAAATACACAGTTGACAAAACAAAGAATGTCAATATGTCTGCAAGAAGTTCCATGGAAACACATGATATTTTCACTGTACGCTGTATTCAGGGACAGATTTTTGCTGGAGTGTACTGCCTGGGTAATATTATTATGTTTGAGTGTCTGAGTCTTTCTTTCCAGTCTTGATCACATTGATAATGATGAAGATATATCAATCTTTCCTGGCAAGAGGCAATTGATATCATTTCTGTCCTGGTTTGACTATATTGATCAGCTGGCCAAGAATTCTCACAAGGTAGCTTTCTCTTTTTTGACAGTCTACCCCTACCCATGGGATCATATCACATATTTGTATAATAGATCAGCAGAGTGAATACTGGGCTGAAGATATAAAACTAGTCTACATGCTATGTTGAGTCATATATTAAGCACTTGGAAAATTTTGAGAATCCAAAGGAGGGCTCGGAGAAGCACAAATCCTCGTGATCTGTGTTAAGTTATGTAAATTAAGGGGTAGTTGACCAATCAAAGCATGCAATTTATTTGAATTATTTTATAATAGGCCATATCACGGATCTTGTTAATCAACCTCAGCCTCGTCAGCGTGTAATTATTCTTTAGAATTTGACTACAGTCCGCAGTAATGAAAGGAATTTACACATCAACAAACAATTGAAACACTTAAAAATTTCACAGGTTGTAGGCAATTTCTAAAGTATATATTACACACTGACGAGGCTGAGGTTGAGTAACAGGATCCGTGAAATGGCCTATGTAAGTATACATGTACCCCACATCCTATTAAGCCTTTTCAGTGCCAGTATAGTTATCCTGGGTTCCAGAGGGTCTCACTCCAGTCAGCTTCCCAGTTGTAGGTTTTATAATTGTTGTAACCACTTTATTCCCATGCTGGGAATACACACGACCACAGTAGCAACACTGGAATTTATTATCATGTTTAAATAAAAGCCATTATTATTATTATAGGTGTAGTACCTACATTTGTAGTCCATAAGTGAATCAAATGTATCAAGCTGATTTTTTTTCATTTTTTCGTCTTTCAGTTAGTTGCCAAAGCACTTGCTGTCAGTGTAAGAGAGAGGTTCCTTCAGCCTATTGTTGAGCCACGTTTTATGCAGCAGTAAGTTACAGCCCCAGCACTGCAAAAGTATGACTGGTGACAATGTATTCAATTAATTTTATGCACAGCGTTTTGTAAATAAAACTGATACATTTTGGTGCAAAGCTGGCTGGTTTTACAAAAGAAGGCATTTAAATGGCAGCAAAAAACATGCGCATGGAAGCTTGCAGTTACATGAAATGTGGTCATACTTTCACATGTCGTGCTTTTAATGTGGTAAAGTCTGTATTGTGATTGGTTCATGGCGTTAAGCTGTCATTTCATAACACAAAATAGAGGAGTCTAATCTGTGTAATTCTTGCTACAAGAACGTTTTGGGAGGCTGAATTGGATTTGCTCCATCCACTGAATCTTTTAAAGGAAAACTTAGACATTCCTATTTGACGCATTATTATTGCAGTGTATATATGTATATTCATTTATTCACTAATTATTGATTTATTCTGTATTGTAAGAGAATTGAGATATTATGTAATGCGCTAGAATAAAATTATTATTATTATTATTATTATCATTATTTTTTAAAATTTTATTTATTAATTTGTTGTAAATGTATTTAGATATTGTATATATAGATTTTGATTACATTCTTTGGCTAGGATCCAACGATATTGCATTATTAAAGCTACTGATTGTTTATTATTATTATTATTATTATTATTATTATTATTATTATTATGCTGTTACCCATGTTAGGACATCAGCTATAATGTAATAAATACGTGATCAGATTTTCGTAACTATTTTTGATGTTATTCACACTGCTGAAATGTGACCAATGAATTATTCCATTAAAAATATTTCTTTTCTCTTTTATTCACCCATCGTTTCTTTTCTTTATTGTTAATAATCAGGTCAGAGCCAGGAATCATTACGACCACAGCTATAATGCGGAGATGTTTAAAATCTATAACGTCCAATCACTTGCTAACAGGTACAGACATAGCCTCTTCCACTTGGCTACTCCATATTTATCCTTCAGAATATAATAGAGATTCTTGTGTTAAAAGGGAGGGAGAGGGAGAAGTAGCATCTTTTCTTCTTTCTTCCTTCCACTCTCCCTCCCCCGTCGTTTATTTTCCTGTCCACAGGAAGACCAAGGAGCCCAAAGGAGATTCCTACTGAGGAAGCTAGTGTATAGACAGCCGAAATGACATGACTTATCACACCAGGGCCGTAGCCACTGGTACGGTTGGTCCAGTTTCAACCAGACCAACTTTCGGGAATAAAATATAAGAAAAATATTTTTAAAATGTAACAAAAACCGGAAACCCTCGAAAACCGGACCAATCAGAAATTTGTGGCTACGGCCCTGCACACTGTATATTGTACTTCCTTTTTCTGTTTTAATTTAATCCATTTTCACTTCATTTACAATCATGATAGTAAATAAAGATATGAACTATATATTGCAGTGGGGGAAGGACTAGAAAGAGACATAGGAACCATGATTTAAGTGGATTTTGTTTTCGCCTTTCACTGTTATCTTAATTGGGCCTCCTGTGATTGGCCATTGCTCCATATGGGAAATCATTTTCTATCCTATCCTATCCTATCCTATCCTATCCTATCCTATCCTATCCTATCCTATCCTANCTATCCTATCCTATCCTATCCTATCCTATCCTATCCTATCCTATCCTATCCTATCCTATCCTATCCTATCCTATCCTATCCTATCCTATTCTATTCTATTCTATCCTATCCTATTCTGAAAAACAAATCTATTGCAGTTTCCTATAATTGTTTTCGAGAAAACACTGACACTTGATTAAGTTTATCCATTTTTTGTGTAACTAAAATTGATAATTTTTCGTACAGAATTTTCCATATTCCTTCTCGGTGAAAGTACTAGTCCTGAGACGGAAACTCTAGCGGCTGAGAATGCCCACAAACTACGCCAAAAACTGATTGAACGATGTGATCATATCAATGATGAGGTAAGTATCTGGTGCAGTTATGACTGTCTACCTCCCCCAGAGGTTGAACGTTCTACGAATGTGCTTACCTCACCAAAACTTAATACTGCTTTCATATGCATTACTCGCTAAGACCATAAACTGAAATTCTCAATGAATGAGAAAATTATGACCTATGACGTTGCAAATGTATGGCAATAGCAGAACACCTCTTGTAGCCAATGGCAGACCCAGAACGATTTTAAGGGGGTGACGGTTACCTAGAAAGGCATCGAACAGTGTCCTTTTAGGTCTTACCTTATTGTTTATTCTTATTACTTTTTTAACTCCAAAGGGAGAAAGGGGGTGATTAGTCATCCAATCCCCCCCCCCCCCGAATCTGACCGTGGTACCATTAAGGCTTTTCACTGAGAGTTCGTTACTCGATAACCGTAAGATGAACCGTGATATAACCTGTTTTTACTTGGTATTTTAACAAGTTTACCTCTTACGTATTTTTTAATTTGTTAACAAAATTATGCCGTACCATTCTGGAGTTATTATCATAATAATAAATGAAAAATCTTTATCACCAGACCTTCGTTAAAGGCCTAACGTCTGCAACGTTTGTATGTTGACGAACACGGTGTTAAGAAGTTTCCGTTTTGTTAACTTATTTTTATACAGTAATGATAAAAAGGTAAATTATACACCGTGAAAAGATGAAAAAACTTACTGACGTTTCGGACGCTAGTCCTTTGAACGCTAGTCCTTCGAACGCTACTCCGACGAAAGACTAGCGTCCGAAACGTCAGTCAAGTTTTTTCATCTTTTCACGGTGTACAATTTACCCTTTTATCCTTACTGTTTCATTAGAAACACCGACGCAGCTTACGCTAGTTTTTAGCTACTTATTTCTTCTTATTTTTATACAACTTTACTTGAAGTTGTTCCTTAGATTGTGGTCTCCAGCCTCCTTAACAAGCCCTAACAAGCCCTTCCCTAACAAGCCCCTCCCTCCAGGGACACACTTATGGGTTTTTAATGTTTTTTCTTTCTTTATTTTTAGTTGAGTATCGAAACTCTGAAGCTATTTGAAACCCTCCTATTAAAACCAGCTCAAATAATCCTCGACAATTTGGTACTTCGTAACCTGACAAGCAGAAAGTATTCTAGCACACCTAGTCTAGCTAATGGTGATGTGACAAATAACGATACACCCCCCTCCCCTAAGACACCAATATCGCCTTCTTTGACCCCAGATGGAAGTACGTCGCCTACATTAACCACAAGTGCAGGAGATGCAAAGAGGGAAGAAGTAGTAAAAACTGTTAACAGGTGGGATTTTTCAAACACAGTATATCGAACAGGGAATATTCTTCGTTTGCAATAGACGTCATAGCCGCCATGTTGGAAGAATTTGACAAAAGATTTTTCAATGAATTCTTTTGTTATATCTTCCAACATGGCGGACATCCCTTTTGTTATTGTGCTCTCTTGGGATTGATTGCAAACCAAGAATTGACTGCGAAAAGGATATTACTTATTCACTATTTTCCATTAATCGGTTCACTGGTCAAATTCAAAGCATTCAGTCGAGGTTGCAAGGTTCAATTTTGAATAATCCCTTTAAAAGTACCTTGGCGCCTCGCTTGAGCGCTTTGTGTTTGACCAATGATCATGAACTGATGTATGGAAAATGGTGAATACTCCATTTTATAGTTCAGTTTAGTGACCACGAATAATAGATCCAAGTCGAGGTTGGAGTTGCCGCGCATGATAAAGTATAGTTTTGCTATGCGCGGAAACTCCAACCTCGACTTGGAACTATTAACCGTGATCAATGAACGCAACTGTGAAAAGGAGTATTGATCATTGGCAAGAATAATGGTACATGTTCCTGGTTTTTTTGCTTTGTTTGGGTTGCATTTTTGAAAAACAATTAGGAAGCCATTTAATAGACTTCTCACGGTAGCGTGACATAATATATTTGATGAATTGGAAACAGGAGCTCACGATTAAATCTGTCACATTGATAATAGTAAAAAATTGTAATGTTTTGTAGAGATTGCTCATAAACAAATATATGAATGTTTGTAAAGAAATGTATGTGAAATACATGAAAACGAGGCTCATTGGGCATACATTTCTTTGTAAAAATACTTGGATGCAAAAATTTATATTTCAGTTTGTGGGCAATCGCTACGAAACTTTGCGACATTACCATTATCAATGTGACAAATTTATGATGGCAATTGAACTGAGTGGAGTGCAATTTGTATAAGAAAAAGGCGAGTGCAATTAAAGAACTTTCAAAACATTACGAGTGTCTATTAATTCCAAATTGTACGAGAAGATCGTGCGATTTTTTGTTTATAGTTCACTCAACAAAAGTTCAGTAAAAAATGCGAAGCGACGCCGTTCATCTTTGTCTATTTGGCGGCCGATTTTCAGTCCATCGCGCAACTGAAATGCATAAAAAAGATTAGTTCTTACGGTTTTGAAATTTTATTTATATGTTTTTTAAGTACAAAATGATAGAAAATAATTGTTTTGACATTGTTTTGGCCGTGTTGCCATAGCGACTTAATTCGGTACTCCTACGGAGTACAATTAACGCTATAATTGTACTCCTCTCGACCAATCAGAGTCGAGTAATTTTGTTGAGTGTACTATAAGGTCTGAAATCAAACGCGCGATTACAAAATTTTATAAAGATTTCAGACCAAAATTGCACGACACGAAGTTCAATTACCACTTAATCATATCCTTTTTGTAATCATACACAAGAAAAAGACACAATAAAGAGTGCAGAATAATCAATTCAATGTAGTAGAAAAACTAAATGCGAACAAAAAAAACATCTAAAAAAAATTTTTTTTGTTGATTTTTTTGTTTTATTTTGTTTTGTTTTATTGTTTAAAAAACATATTTTAAGGATGCGATTAAGAGCTCCAAAGGATGCGATTTGGGAATTAATCGCACTCCTTTGAACCAATCAGATTGCAGGATTTGTTAGTGATTACAAAAAGGATATGATTAAATCGTAAACTCCCTTTTCCAATCAATCAAATATCTTCTAATATCACGCTACCGTGAGAAGGTTAAATTGTCATGGCACTTTTTTTTACAATTTCAACAAAATTTTTTCTCTCGAGGAAAATAGTCACTCTCTGGCATTTTATCAAAAGAAAAAGGTTTGGGGCTTTGGTATCCGCGGAAATTTAGAAGAGGAGCGTGAGAAACGGCAGATTGGTCCAGTATTCAAAGTGGAAACCAATATTACTCAAAATTCCTATTCGTGCTGTCCGTTGGCTGTCTTGGGGTATTTATTAATAACAGCTGGTTTCGTTGCTTCTGTCACTAGCTTCTTATCTCTTGTTCCCGAACAAGTGAAGTCTTCAGCGTTAGCGGGAGACACAGGCTACGATATGTATCTAGGTGATGCACACAAACAGGTATGACTCATTTTTAACCCCGATGTACCGTATAAGACTGAAGCGATATGACGTTTTACCCCCAACTCTATACCGTAATAGTTTTTGAAATTCTTTCATATTAAAATTTTTGATTCCTTAGAGAATACAGGAACAATAGTCATAATTAAAGAACAAAAGCAATGTGAAAAGGATTATGGTCTAGAGACGGGGGTAAAACGTCATCTCGCTTCAGGCTTATTGAATGCAACCTTTGGATCATAATAGCTAATTTATTATGTGTTCACGTCTTTTGTAAACAGTTTCGAGACCGTGCTTTCCAGTGCTGTCAGTTTCGATGGCCGTCGTCTGCTGCTCCAACAGATGGTAAGGTTCTATTAAGGCTCCTATTGCACGTGGACTGCTTATATGCAAAATAGTCTATTGGTTTTAAAAAAGAAAGCGCTTTGGTGTTGCCTTCGCATTGTTTTGATGCACTTTCTGTATACACCTATTTCAAAAAACGTTGTCATCGCCAGAGGCGATTGGCAATAGGCGCAAAGCGATAGTCGATAGGTCTTTCCAAGATCCAACAATAGCTGGAATGACTTGTGTTTCTGCTTCTTATTCTCGTCAAGAACATGGACCTTAGTGTTAAGACTGATTCAATGTTCTTTGTATTCAACGAAACCATTTCCATATCTAAATGACCTATCGCCTATCGCCGTTGGCGAGGACAACGTTTTTTGAAATAGGTGTATACTCAACCCATGAATCTTCGTTTTGTCTTTGTTTTCATGGAATTGCCGGGTGTTTTTTGTGTACATTTTGCACTTGTTATTAGTTTAAGGAATATAAAACGCGCGCGCGTGTCTCTGTACTGTAATATAAACACGCTGGGAGATGTAGAGCAAGAGAGAAGCAAGCTTAGGAACATAAGGCATAGCCAAGTGTTTCTCTTGCTTCTCGAGTGCTCTAGATCTCCCAGAGTGTTTACATAAGCAGCCGTTTTATAATGCTTTTATAAAATATTTTTGAATGATTTTGCGCGAGTGTCTCTCTGTCCTCTGATATAAACACGGTAACCAACCAATCAACGCGCGCGTTAAATCTCAAACATTGTATAATTCCTAATATAAGGTGTACTTTTGTCTTTTAGGAGAAGACGCAAGAGAATCTTTTTATGAAGGAGCTTTTTTGAATATGTTGTTTAAAAAACTTCAAAGATTGCTCGATCAAGTAAGTAAAACATAGCCATGTCGTATAGGTAATCCTATATGTTAAGACTTGTTTACGTATTTGTCCATACCTTAGCGAGTCTTGCCCCCCACCCCCTCCCCCCCCCTCATTTTGCTTTTTTCTTCGTTTTCACATGACATCATAGCCACCATGTTCGAAGAATGTGACAAAAGATTTTTCCATGGCTTTTGCTATTTTACTCCCTTGGAAATGAAACCAAAAATTAAGGTCTGTTGCTATAGCATTTACACGGCTCCATGCGGAACAGAATCATGGTTCGAGAGCAAGCAGTTCAGATAGATATTTAACGAATACACATCAGACTTTCACGTGTTTGTCCTCTTATTGACGATAGATTGCGTCATCACATTGTCAAAGTAGTATGCGGATCCGCTCGGCTACGCCTCATGGATCCACACTACTTTGACAATGTGATGACGAAACGTATCGTCAATAAGAGGACAGACACATAAAAAACCGGTTTATTTGTTTTTTACAATAACAAAAACGATAACAACTTCTCATTTTTAATGATCAAAACAACCAACGAAAAGAGCGCGCGCTCGTTGACGTCAGCTTTATCTGTCTGTAATCTCATTGATGATAAAAAAATAACCAATCAGCGCGCGAGAAATTTGTAAGTTTTTGTAAAAAAATAGAATACTCACATAAAGCCTTGCTATTTTTCTTTTTCAGACTTACGAAATGAACCTGCAAGTTACTTGTGTTACAGCGTTATTGGCTCAGTTCAATCACCCTCATCTACACGAGTATCTACTAAACCCGGATCTACAGTTAGCAAAGGGATGCAGATCGCTATACACTACACTACAACATGTAAGCGATTAGTATATAGAAGATATTACATGGTGGCGCGAAAATATGAAGTTTACCTTCGAGTGGTGAAATATTTTTAAACGTGAGAAGATAAACTTCATATATTTTTCAACATGAAAGATAAACTTCATATCTCCACGCCAACGTATAATTTTCTTTTTATGCAATATATACAGTATGAGTGGCCGTGTTGCATCAGATATACAACCACGAGGCGTAGTCGAGTGATTGTATATCTGATACAACACAGACACGAATACTGTATATGACTTATCAAACGTCTAGGTTAGTTCCTTTGTGTTTCACTAAAATTTTCAAAATTAAAGTGAATCTGGCCAAGAAAATCCAACTTAAAGTTTATGCAAATGAACACAGTTTTGTATCAGATTCACAACACTCTTCACGGTCGTGATTTCTGTTGTGTTTTCCTCATGAATTATTCATGGTTTGATAATATTTATACACACATTCTCATACTCATTAATAATTCATGAGGAAACCAGCCAATCAGTGGGCTATTTTTTGGGTCACATGATGTTACTTGAAACCTGGTAAAGTCCTGTCAAAGGACAGAATTAATTTTGTTCAAGTCCTTAGGCTGGATTAATTCAGTTCAGGGAAAATCTGTCCCTTAATTATTTCATTCCTAAACAAATAACCTCCCGAATTATTAATGAGTTTGAGAAATATTACTTCACAAACAAAGGCTTGTTGAAAACTTCAGGGTGACTTCATCGATATATTGACGTGTGAGAATATGGAAAACTGAATGTGTCAATGAGGTCCCGGATGTAGTTCGCATAAAAAATACGAGTGGCGTACTTCCCAGTAAAACACTAATGTCTATATAATATATAGACTTGGATATTGTCTAAGGCGTTTTAAGGTCACTGGGTAAATAAACACTGGAGCTAAAAAATGTTCAGAGGCCCATAAAAATACCCTTATAACTATAGAAATACTCTTTGTAATTGACAGGTTGTTAAAGACCTGAATGGTAGAATAGATAGAATACCTAACTTCCAAAAGAGCGTGGTAATGATACGAAAACAGTTAATGGGCGTGGATACGACAGCGCCAGAAACCAATAGGTACGTATGTCTGTTGGAAAAGGAATTGGAACACCAAGGGTTTCATTTAGAAATACAGTCAATGTCATTAACGTTGTCCACCGAAAAAAGACATTTACACATTTACACATTTACACATTTACACATTTACACATTTACACATTTAGATATTTAGACTAAAAGAAACATCACGTGTTTCCTCGAACGTTCTGACATAAAACAAACGCTGAAATACCATTCTCCATCTTAAATCCTCACTAAATGGTCAGGGCATTCTGGATTTTCGATTCACGAGTTGAATTTTACATTTAAAGTTCAGGCTGACGCACACGAGGCAAAGAATACACAATGAAACACGTGATATTTCTTTTAGTCTAAATGTGGAAATGTGGAAATGTCTAAATGCCTAAATGCCTAAATGCCTAAATGTCTAAATGTGTAAATGTCTTTTTTCGGTGGACAACGTTAAGGACATTGACTGTATAACCCAGAGTGATTCCCTACGCTTCTCTCTCGGCATCTCGTCTGTTTAGACCAAAGCATTCAAAACGGTAAACTGTTTTATCTCTTTTAAGTCCCGTTTACACTGGCGATTTTTGCGGCAATTTTTGCTGCGATTCTTATGGCAATTTTCGGAAATATGAAATCTTTTGTCTCATCCTTTAAAAGAGACATTCGTCTAGGAAAATCTTGGTATCCTGAAAAAAACTTTACAAGTAAATTCTTTACCATTATTTATTATGGACAATATCGCAAAAAAAAAAAAATCGCAGCAAAAATCGCCGCACAAATCGCTAGTGTAAACGGGGCTTTACAAATAACAATTTCAAACTCAGAGCGTGCGCCCCGAAAATAAAATGACGTGAAGGTTCTAGATACCACCCGATCTAAGGCATTTCGACTAAACACGCGCGTTATCAACTCAGTTATTTTACAATCATCTTTTCAAAACTGGGGCTAGTTTTGAGGTTATTAAAATGTATCAGCCTCTTATAATCTTCTGTTCGTTTGGTTTAGTATGGCGCACAATAATCTTTTGGAAGCATGCATCGTCCTGGAGGAATTCTGCAAGGTATGTACGGACCATCTATGAAATCATCCCTAGTAGTTCAATGTCGGTACAGCTGTATAAGCCAAAGAAAGCAATATCGCAGAACATTGCCCTTTCTCCCTTTGCTATATGTAAGCAGATGCGCGATGCATTGCTGCACTTCTCTTACGATAAGTGGTAAAGTAGAGTACAAACATTAAAAGTGTGCAACACTTATTTAGTAGTAAATAGTGCTAATTAAACAATAGGATTAACATAGTTTAGCAGTATTTAGTGGTGTTCATGTTACACACTTACAGTGTTTGTACTCTACCAGATATGATTTTTTAAAAAATACTGTTATAAGTAAGAGCAACGAACATGCTGTTGTTTTTCTATTTTTTCGGCTCAATCTCGTGTGATTCTTGCCCTTCTGCCGTGCTTACAGCCTCTCAGTTCACTGGCTTTCTTCCCATTCCTTAATTAATAATGGCTTTAATATTTTGTCATAGGAATTGGCTGCCATTGCCTTCGTTAAGGCTACGTCATCCCTACATCACCAATAACCAGAGACAAATTTTATTACACAGAAATTAATAGCAAGCTTTCAAAGATAGTCATCTATTATTTGCAAGAAACAGCATCTGGGATCGCTGTGGTAAAAGTTTTGAATCTTCATGGTTGTTATAGAAACAAATCAGGTTCCAGTGATTATTACCAAAATATCTTTTTAATATCGAATATTAGTTCTTTCTAGATATTAAAGGACAAAGAAAATTATTTTATCAAACAGATTGAAATGGGAAAACTCGTTATATAATACTTGGCCAAGGGTTAAGGCTATTAAATTAATACATTAGAATATAATTCAAATGGTAATTTTTGAAGGTGATTCTATTGCAGCACTTACTTCTCCGCTAAATCAACTCAGGGTCTGCTTACAAGAAAAGAAGCAATGTTTTTCTTCCAAGACACATCCATTTAAAATTATTTTTATAACTTGGTCATGCCACCTTTGAGCAAGTAGGCCCTTGTAACAAAGTAAGGCGCAAGAGTGTGTAACCAAAGTGCGTCATCTCTATTTAACCAATAAAAAAGCACGACGAATGACCATGAGTTCTCATAGTCATACGTCGTCCTTTTTAGCATGACGTAAACTGAAAAACACACTAGTATCGGTGTTGTGATCGGTAATGAACAGTCTTACTAGTAAAGATAGTTGGAGAAATACCAAGGGCATTTTTAGCTGAGATCCCCAGACTTGTGTAGATATCAGGCTTGTAAGACATCCATGTTCGAATACCCGCGTTTCTCAGGCTTCTCTCCACTCTTCTGACATCGGGTTCATCTGTGAAGTCTTTAGTGTAGACAAAGATCACATGTTCTTCGTTTGGCTTTTTCGTGCTGACTTTTGCTTCGTTTCCAAGGCTGCCTGCAATAACAGCTTTGGCAACAGAAAACCAAAGATCATCTACTTCATATCTGAAATAAAAATATTCAGGGATCGGTGAAAGCAAATATACTTCTTAGCCTCAGGTCAAACGTCGAACTTCACATGAGCCGAACCAAATTGAAGCAATGAATAGCAAGGCGGTCGTCTTTGATGTTATTAGGTTTACATGGCAGCAAACGAATTTTTAAACTTACAAATATTTGACCAATAAATACCATTTCAGTACACGGAACCCTTACTTTCATTTTATTCAAAGTACGTTATGTTTACACGAAAGCGAATCAATACGCTATTGGTGGTTTTTCATCTGATCATGCGCAAAGCACACTCCCTACAGTTTACCGTACGAAAAGTTATACGAACAAGGTGTTGACGACACGAGTGAAAAACGTCTGCGCATGCTCTGAATCCGTATGCAAATTAGTCAAAATATTTGTAAATTTGACTTTCAAACATGCCTGAGAAATTGGACTTCACAAAATGCCAAAACTCAGTGTCCATGCTTGAAACTTAAGGCTAATTCTTTCATATTGTGTTTGTTAATACAGTATCTTGGTTTGACAAAAGTATACTCTCGAACTTTTTTGTATACTTTGAAAAAACAAAAAAATTTCTCACTCAATTTCTTCAAAATTCTTAGAAAACGTGCTGAAATGCACGCATGCGCAAACGTTTTTCTCTAGTGTCGGTGTTGACACGGTACCGTCCGATTCACATTCGTGCTAGTTAAAAGTTCGACCTCAATTTTGCAGGTCCCAAATTTGCACGGCTAGGCATATGAAGTTTTTGTACGGATAGCACGGAATGCCTAACGCACAACATTTTGAAAGGTTTGAATTTTTTTTTAAATTCGTTGGGTACCGTGTTAACGCAGCCTTAGTCTAGATACAGAAAACCAAAGAAGATTGGGTTGGTGCGCGCTATTATTAGGCCACACTATTACGACGACAGTTTACTAACGAACCCCACCCCTCATTACCACGTAATGGGGCGTTTGCACGGTCTAGCGTGACATTTAAAATATTAATTCAAGACAAATAACAATGCCATGACTCGAAAAAGTATCTTAAAGCAGTCGTACATTATGTATGGATTTGTATTTTGTACCTAAAATATGTGTGGAATGTTAAACAAGTTCTGACCAATAACATGCGGCAGTTAATTAGAAATTCATTCATTCTCGCATGTGATTGGTCAGAACACGATGCTTAACAGACATATTTTAGATGTTCACGGTTTTCTTAGTTTGACTGTAACAAACCTGCTTGTAAATATCATCCATTTTCCAGACATGTACCCATACTTGTATGCAAGGTCTCTGAGGAGTTGTGCTCCAAACAATTTTATTCCCCTCTTCTTTTGTAGTTCTTTCCATTCATCCTCGATTTTTACAAGCATATCACGACAAAAGGGGCTATCTTGGTGTGTATTACTCACAGATATCCACAGAGCATCTCTACCATTTATCTGCGAAGGCTTGTTTCCTTCCAAGAACAAATCAAGAGATTCTTTACCATCATAGCTCTTACAATCTACGTGATGGACTTCGCGTCCTTTGGTATTCCCAGTCTCTTCTCGCGTTCCATATCTCATATCACGAGTTACTTTAACGGCTTCGCTCTTAAAAATAGTTGGAGCAATACCAAAATCATTGTTCACATAAATTCCTAATATTGTATATATGTCAGCCTTGTACGACATCTTTCCATAGAATCCCAAATCTCTCAGGCCTTTCTCTACTCTTCTGACGTCATCTTTGTTTGTGAAGTTTTCAGTATAAACACAAATTACGTGGGATTTTTTGGGGGGGTTTTTCGTACTCACTTTTGTTGTCATTCCAAGTTTACCTGCTACAACTGCCTTCGCGATAGTGAACCAAATATCATCTATATGCTTGCTAGAAAAAACAAATATAAATAAATTTAAAAAGGGTCGGTTGGTTAAACTGCTTCTATTAGGCCCCGTCCACAGTATGCCGGATAAATTCGAATCCGAATTTTTATTTATTCGGTTAGGCCTACCATCCACACTAGTCCGGGCGAATCCGGAACAATTCTTCACCGAAAACGAATTTTCGAAATGGAACCGAATAAATAAAAATTCGGATTCAAATTTATCCGGCATAGTGTGGACGGGGCCTTATTGTCGTTCTATTTAACCCTGAACACTCGAGTTTGTCAACCAATCAGATTACCAATCCAAAACAATAGAATTGGAGTTTCTCGTATTTAAAGTGCCTATCACCCTTCTGACAATATTCATAGTATTGATTCTACATGGTGTAAGATTTTGAATAACACGGAAAAAAATTATAGTTTGAGTGCGGCTTCTTGAAGTTATAAAGGTTTTTTCATGTCATATGCAAATGCTGTGACGTATGAGGAGTAATCATTTTATATACAACACATTACTGGCACAGATAAATTAAGTTTGAAATCCGTCATTGTTTTCCCCATTGCTCTTATAAAAATTATGGCAAGTTAGTTTTCACATAAAAGCCGGTAATTCAAATTACAAGGAACAACAAATAACCATAAATGCCTCCTCATACGTCACAGCATTAGCATATGGCATGGAAAAACCTTTATAACTTCAAGAAGCTGCACTCAAACTATGAAGCTTTTTCGGGTTATTCAGCATCTTACCCCATGTAGAATCAATACTGTGAATATTGTCAGAAGGGTGATAGGCACTTTAAAGTCTATAAAAGCTAGTCAAGGAGATGAAATGATTAAAGAGGAAGAAAAAATAAAAGTATATTTACACAAATAAAAAATAAAATGAACTCGAGTGATCGTGGTTAGAGTAGAAAGACAGTAGGGCTCAGGTCAAACGTCGAACTTCACATGAGCCGAACCTAATTGAAACAATGGATAAGGCGGTCTTCTTTGATGTAATTAGGTTCGGCTCATGGGGAGTTCGACGTTTGACCTGAGCCTAAGAATATCGAAAGTTAAAACTTTCAATGTTCTGGTTGAGGGATCAAGCACAAAACATTTTGAGTCGAGGCTCCGGGAAAACAATAATGTACGTGTTTAATTGTCCTAATTCACTATGACGTCACAGCTTGTTTATGTGGGGGATAGAATCGCCAAATCCAATAGAAAATTCAACCAAATTTGCTCCTAGCGAAACAGTTTAATCTAAAATGGCCTGGTTTTCAGATATGATATGTGTTAATATGTACTAAACAATATTCTGAGCGTTTGCTGGCTATTCTACTTCTCTTCGTGGATTGATACGGCTTAAAACGATTTTCGGTGAATTTGATCCTTTGCGTTTAAACAATAGATTGTTTTGATGTGACGTCGCGTCGTAGTGAAATAGGGCAATTAAATATTATGAGACAATAAATTCGGGTCACCAGCTAACCTGCTCGCAAATATCATCCATTTTCCTGAAGTGTAGTTATATTTTAATGCCAGCTCTTTGAGCGTTTCGCTTGTCACCATTTTATCGTGTTTATTTTTAAGCAGATCTCTCCATTCTTTCCTCATGATCATATACAATAACCAACGAGGGAGTTCTGTGGTATCTTTTAGTTCACCTTCTTGCTTTTTACTCTTGGATTGTTCTGTATCTATGTCTCGCGGTTCGTGTTCTTGTCGTTCTTGTTGTTTGTTCTGTTTTTCTAGTTCAACTATTTGCCCTTTGTCTTCTTCGCCACCTTCTTGTACAAGGTTTTGTACTTTTTCTTCTCGTTCTTCATCTGTTTGTTTTTCTGCTTCGTCTGGTTGTTGTTTTCCATCATTTGCTCGTACCGACCTATGTTCTTCGTCGTCCTTTTCTTCCTCGTCTTGCTCTTCGTCGTCTTGCTCTTCGTCGTCTTGCTCTTCGTCGTCTTGCTCTTCGTCGTCTTGCTTATGTGACCACACAGAAATCCACGAGGCGTCTTTAATACTCACTATTGAAGGTCGATTTATCTCGAGAAAGGCACTTAAAGGTTCTTTTCCTCGGTAAATCCTCCATACTTCACAGTCACTGTCGCTACTTTCATCTTCACTAGAGTCTACAACCCCATTCGTATCGTCCATGATGAGAACTGCCTTTATTCACTTGCGAGTATCTGTTTTCAACCCCGATTGTGGTGGTTTCTTTCACAACTGGCTTGATGTAATATATTCAAAATAATCTACTTTCGTTTTATTTATAGTTTTAGTTGCGATTCATTGCTCTCCCCAACTGCCAGGTCATTCAAATTATACCACAGGACGCCCAATCGTAGTCAGAGCAGCTCGATGACAAAAAAAAAAACAACAGAATCATTCTAATCTCCTGAGAATTGAAGCCTATCGATTGAGGACATTTAAAAAATAATTATTTTTGCATCTCTTTATCGGTGAATGAATGAGGAAAATGTGCTGAAATGAATTTATGGAAGGACATAGGTAAGTAAATCTATAACTTTATTTGGAAAAAGGACCTTTACATATGGGACCCTTGTGTATACAACAATGGAAAATAACGCCTAATAATAAGACCAGGATTATTTTTTAATCTTTATTTATTTTACTAAGCGCACGCCTGTAATGTTCATAATGTTTATAATATATCTATAGAGGGCTGTCGTTAAAAAGTGTCAGTTTTCGACTATTTTGAGATGTTTTTTCAAAATGAATCAAAAATGAGAATGGTGACCCCTATTTTTTATTTCAGAATTTTGATAAATGCAATGCTCGCCATTATATATCAAAATATGAAGGAAAGATTATTGGATAGATTTTGAAATATTTTGATGGGAATAGTTGACATGTGCAATTTTTGGACGTTCGTAGAGGCGCACATACCTGCATTTTTCGCTAATAGTTCAAGAATCATAGTCATCCAATGTCTTTGATGGATTTAATAGCATAGATTATCTAGTAAACTTCGAGTTATAAGTACGTTTTGTTATATGAAAGTGCTTTTAACGGTGAATAAAGGTTCTTGATTACAGCTTCCGGTTGCTACCGTTTTTCACTATAAAACCCATAAATTGACATATTTGGAGAGCATCTAGCGTAAAAACGAGAATGGTGACTATTGGCTAATTGATTTTCGTCAGATAACCTGGACTTTATGACCAGTTCCTTAGCTAAACACAGGAATCCCACTTGAAAATTCGCGAGCTGAAGGAAGAGATTCCTACAGGAATTCTCCTTTTCACCCGTACAGGCAGATCCAGTTGTCGACATTTAACTGCCTCTCTTCGAAAAGCTAAACAAAGAAATCCCTTTTTTTCCCTAGCTCTAAATGATATGCACCCTTAAACTTCGGCAAGTGGAACGTTTGGTTCCGCTTGTTCCGGTTGTACATTCCTCTTTTGTCCGCTCGTTACCGTAGTACATCCACCATATCAAAGTCATTGCATACTCATTTGAACATTTAGCATGTTTTGGTCCCAATCCTCTAAATTGCTTCTTGACATTCGCAGTGTAATTTGATTCGTGACATGAAACGCAAACGTGACACATTTTCAAGATGGTGCACGCAAGGAAAAGAAGGCAGTGTAAAATTCCAAAGCGATATATACTTCGACAAAATCTGCAAAGATAAGCCAATAATAACAATAACAATAACAATAACAATAACAATAACAATAACAATAACAATAACAATAACAATAACAATAACAATAACAATAACAATAAC